AGACTCCAACTCAAAAAGAAACCAAAAAAATAAAAAATAAAATCAGGACATAAATTCCCAAAGCAAAGCTGTCTCTCCTATCCTTCCACAAGGAAGGACCAATGTTTATAAGTAAAGATAACCTTACTGACCAGGACTCTAAGATGGCCTCAGTCATACCAGTGAAGGAGAAGAAACTCATGGATGTCAAACTACGGGAGCTTCCAAGCTGGATATTGATGCGGGATTTCACCCCTAATGGCATACTTGGAGCATTTCTTGGTTTTTTTTTTGTTTGTTTTTTTTTTGAGTTGGAGTCTCTGTCGCCCAGACTGGAGTGCAGTGGCCACTCCCAGCCACCACAGCCTCGACCTGCTGGGCTCCGGCGATCCTTCCGCTTCAGCCTTCCGAGTAGCCGAAATTACAGGCATGCATGTATTTCCATGCCCGGCTGATTTTTTGATTTATTGTAGAGATGAATTCTCCCTGCCCAGGCAGGTCTCGAGCCCGCGGGCTCAGGCAATCCACTCACCTCAGCCTCCCAAAGGCGTGGGATTACAAGGCTGAGCCACCGAGCCTGGCTGCTTGGAGCATTTCAAAGAGGTTATCACCACTACTACAACAAGTACATCACCGTGAAGAAAGGGAGCATCTCCAGGGTTTCTATGGTGCTGGCGGCTTTTGTACTTTTCAGCTACTGCTTTTCTTACAAGGAGCTTAAACATGAGCAGCTACGCAAGTACCACTGAAGAGGGTGCACTCTGCTCTCCTGACCATGACCTCCTTGGCCCAGCGCCCCTCCATGAGGAACTTGACCATTGCTGAATCGTTTCATACCCTAATGAGAACACCTTAATAATAGATGACTGGTAAAGAAAAAAAAAAAAAAAAAAGGATAACCTTACTATTAACCTAAAGACGGCACCAGAGAAATCTACAGGACAAATATTACTAACTAAACTTTATCTAATATTTATTTGCCTTCCCCAAGTTTGCTGCCCCTGTAGACTTGAAGTCATTTTCCTTTGCCTTGTTATTTCTCTAAAAATTCACTGTTCTTTGTTGAAAATTCTCTGAATTCAAAGTCACATATTTGAGAGTTATTCCATTCCTGGGTATCTCCCACGTAAACCTGAGGCATATATATTAATAAACTACTGTTTGTTTCTCTCTTCTTCATCTGTCTTTTTTTTTTTTTTTTTGAGTCAGAATCTCACTCTGTCGCCCAGACTGGAGTGCAGTGGCCGCTCCTGGCCACCGCAGCCTCAACCTGCTGGGCTCCGGCGATCCTTCCGCCTCGGCCTTCCAAGTAGCCGGAATTACAGGCGCGCGCTACCATGCCCGGCTAATTTTTTGATTTTATTGTAGAGATGAGGTCTCGCTGCCCAGGCGGGTCTCGAACCTGCGGGCTCAGGCAGTCCACTCACCTCAGCCTCCCAAAGATGTGGGATTACAGGCTGAGCCACCGAGCCCGGCATTGTCTTTTTTTTTTAAATGAGAACTTTGCTTGTATATTACTCTGTCTTTTGTTATAGGGGTTTGTCCTAGCTAAGAACTATGAAAGGTAGAGAAAAAATTGTTTTTTTTTTTATGCAACTTACACCTCATTGGTCAGAACTTAGTTGCAGGGCTACACTTAGCTGCAAGAAAATGTAATCTTTTGGCTAGATTCATTGCTATTATGAATAAAATAGGGCTTCTCCTATTTAGGAAGAAGCACAGAATAGATATTAGGCAACCAGCATTCTTACTACAGTTAATTGCTCCATTCAACAGAGTGTGTAATGGCCCTTGACAGCTTACAAACTGGTTTCCTCTCCATTATCTTCCCAGAGTCTCCTAACACATCTGTGCAAGAACTCTTTTTTTTTTGAGCCGGAGTCTGACTTTGTTGCCCGAGTCGGAGTGCAGTGGCACACTCAAGGCCACCGCAGCTTTACCTCCTGGACTTAGGCGATCCTTCTGCCTCAGCCTTCCAAGCAGCTGGAACCACAGGTGTGTGCCATCATGCTCAGCTAATTTTTTTGAGTTGGAGTCTCACTCTGTCACCCAGGCTGGAGTGCTGTGGCACACTCACAGCCACCCCATCATCGACCTTCTGGGCTCAGGTGATCCTTCCAAATCAGCCTTCCAAGTAGCTGGAACTACAGGCACGTGCTACCACACCCAGCTAATTTTTTGATTTATTGTAGAGACGAGGTCTCTCCGAGTTGCCCAAGCTGGTCTTGAACCCCTGGACTCAGGCAATCCTCTTGCCTCTGCCTCCCAAAGTGCTGGGATTACAGGCGTGAGCCACCACGCCTGGCCAGGAATTTGTCTTTATCTTCATTTTTACAATTGGGGAAACTGAGATTTAAAAACAGACAATCAGTTTCCTAAGGCCAAACATGTAGTGATAGCAAAACTGGGAGACGAATTGAGATCTAACTCCAAGGCCCAAGTTCTTCCCCATTCCCTTTCTTGCCTTTCTGAACTAATTTTGGCTGCTGCTGTAGTTAAATGTCATTGGTGGTGAAACACCCCTAACCTTAGGAGCTATGAACAGATCAAGTGTAAATGGATGGTCTGTGGGGAGCTTCAGTCTTCTCTTGCCTTTCTAGTCCTCTTCTCCCTCTCCCTAGTGCCCACAGAGAACACAGTAAGTGTACACAGGGTGACAATTAAGTTTGCGAACTCATCCTAGATAAAGTGCTACATACCTCGTTGCTGAGTATCACTACAGTCATCTTTAAAGTACTCCCCTTGGGAAGCTATGCACCAACACCAGTGCCTAGTCCACTTGTCAAAGCAATTTTGGAACTCTCTTTCTGGAATGGCCACTAGAGCTATTGTTGTATTACCCTTGGTGTCCTGAATGTCATCAAAATGTCTTTCTTGCAATATTTCCTTTAACTCTGGGTAAAGAAAAAAGTCACTGGGGGTCAAATCAGGTGAGTAGGGAAGGTGTTCCAATACAGTTATTTGTTTACTGTCTAAAAGCTCCCTCACAGACAGTGCTGTGTGAGCTGATACATTGACGTGATGCAAGAGCTCCTTTAGGACCATTTATTTGCACACATCTGTTTCATGCCAAGATTTTCAGTTAAGATTTTCCTGTTTCTCTGTCAATGTTTATTTGGTCTGCTATGCTTCTCACAGTCAGCTGGCAATTTTTTTTTTTTTTGAATTGGAGTCTCACTCTGTCACCCAGGCTAGAGTACAGTGGCATGCTGCTCACAGTCATCGAAACCTCGACCTGCTGGGCTCAGGCCATCCTTCTGCCTCAGCCTTCCAGGTAGCTGGAACCACAGGTAAGCGCCACCACACCTGGCTAGTTTTTTTATTTATTATAAAGACAAGGTCTCATTACGTTGCTCAGGCTGGTCTCGAACTCCTAAGCTCAGGCAATCCTCTTGCCTCTGCCTCCCAAAATGCTTGGATTACAGGTTTGAGTCACCGCGCCCAGTAGTTGATGATTTTGACACACACTTTGATGAGTGTTTGCAATGTTTTCATCATTTCTGCTCATTACTGGCCATCCTGACCTATCTTCATCATTGACATTTTCTGTTCCCTCGGAAAAACATTTAATCCATTTGTACACTGCCATTTTCTTCATGGCATTATCCCCATAAGCTTGGACTAGCAAGTTCCTGATTTCACTTCCACTCTTACCAAGTTTAACAAGAAATTTAATGTTTGCTCGTTGCTCTTATTAAAACTCTGACATTCTCATGACGACAGCTCTGCTGGCCATTTCAGAGAGTTCCAAAATTGCTTTGACGGGTGGACTAGGTGCTGGCATAGATGAATAGCTTCCCAAGGGGAGTACTTCGAAGGTGACTGTAGTGATGTTCAGCAATGAAGAATGTACCACTTTTCTAGGATGAGTTCACGAACTTAATTGTCAGACCTTGTGTGTGAAGTTATTTCTGAGATGCTACCCTCTCTAGCTAACCCCCAGCCTGGGGAAACATTTGTGTCTACTGGGAAGATGGGGGAGGGGCATTAGCCATTGTCTGAAGAAAGACAGCATCCCTGGAATTCAAAAATAACTAATGTCCCATCCCAAGTGCTAAATTATTCTCTTCCTAGGAGAGGAAAGAGAGGGGATTTTTTTTTATACCTGTTTTACATATAAGAAAACTGAGGCTGCCGGGCTCAGTGGCTCACCCTGTAATCCCATGCCTTGGGAGGCTGAGGATGCTCAGGATTGCCTGAGCCCGCGTGTTTGAGACCCGCCTGGGCAACTTGGTGAGACCTCATCTCTACAATAAACCAAAAAATTAGCCAGGCGTGGTAGCGCGCGCCTGTAGTTCCAGCTACTTAGAAGACTGAGGCGGAAGGATCGCCGGAGCCCAGCAGGTCGAGGCTGCGGTGGCCGGGAGCGGCCACTGCACTCCAGTCTGGGCGACTGAGTGAGACTCCAACTCAAAAGAAAACTGAGGCTTAGAGAGGTGAGGTGATTTGCACAGGATCACACAGCCAGTAAGGGGCGGAGCTGAGACTCCAACTTGAATAGCCTTGATTTGTAGCATTTGCTTATTTCTGAGGTGTAGATACTCCCAACATGGTTGTTTTCAAGCTACCAAATGACAGCTCTGAGCATAGAATTGGGAAAAGAATGCACAATGAACCCTCACAAGCTGGAATGAACACTGAACAACAAATGTAACACTGTTATATTTTAACACAGCTGCCATTTGCTAGAGTGTGAGGGCAGGAACCTTATCTTTTTTCTGACTTGTCCCCACAGCACATGGCAGATCACTAAACATTTGTAAAATGAAAGGACACCCATCCTCGCGTCACTAGGCCACCCTGCCTCAAACAGACAGACACACCAAAAATATTACCTGTGTGTAGAATTGTATTGACTAAGTTCTTTCATACACTATAACTCAAGCAGAGTTTGTTGCCTCTGTGGCAGAAAACACTACCTTGAACATGAGAATCCACTACAAGAATAACTCCTTTGGGAACCTGAATTTCACCCCACTGCTTCTTCCCATCTCATCCTCGTCTTTCTTAAACGTTTTTTAAAATTGTGGCACATAGAATGTGTCACTTTTACCATTAATATACAGTTTAGCACATTAAGTATATTCATGTTGTGTAATCACCACCACTGCCCATCTCCCAAACTTTTTCACCTTTCCACACTGAAACTCTGTACCCATTTTTTTTTTTTTTTTTTTTTTAGTTGGAGTCTCACTCTGTCCCCCAGACTGGAGTGCAGTGGCCACTCCCGGCCACTGCAGCCTCAACCTGCTGGGCTCTGGCGATCCTTCCGCCTCAGCCTTCCAAGTAGCTGGAACTACAGGTGTGCGCTACCACACCCGGCTCATTTTTTATTTATTGTAGAGATGAGATCTCCCCAAGTTGCCCAGGCAGGTCTCGAGCCCGCGGGCTAAGGCAATCCACTCACCTCAGCCTCCCAAAGGCGCGGGATTACAGGCTGAGCCACCAAGCCCGGCTCTCTGTACCCATTAAATACTACTAACTCCTTTCATCCCCCTGCTCCTAACCCATGACAATCACTAGGCTACTTTGTGCTCTATGAATTTGACTACTCTGAATACCTCATACCAGTGGACTCATACAATATTTGTCCCTTGTATCTGGCTTGTCATTTAACATGATATCTTCAAGGTTCACCCATGGTTGTAGCATACATCAGAATTTCCTTCCTTTTTAAGGCTGAATAATATTTTATTGCATATCTACACAACATTTTGTTTATCCATTCATTCCTCAAGGGACAATTGGG